GTTTGATATGTAAATTTTGAATTAAAATGCATAAATAGCATTTGGTGTTGATCACTACCATAGACATCCGCCATGCAATGGACATCATTAAACATCGCGGAGATGATGCCTGAATGCAAATTTGATCCAAACAATGAACTAACGGGGAACGGGACACGGATGTATTCATCCAGTGACTGTTCTGGCACAAATCATGAAAGAAAGAAAGCTTTGCCCACAACTCGGAGTATAACCAAAAATGGCGTGATTATTTCAACGCACTTCAAACTAGAGTGTCACACACGCCAATGGCACACTCAGAGAGGTAAAAATATTAACATAGTATCGCTTGCCCACATATGAATTCTGTACAAAAGAACTTATGGTACAGGAGGCTTAGGTGCGACGTCGTCGAACTGGTTGTAACGGGAAGACTCGACCGTTTTAGCACCGCCCATAACTCGAGAGAAAAAATGTGCTGCGAAGCAAGCGGCAACACATAGGTCTATGGGGCTGGAATCCTCATCAACCCATGCTTGGCTATGAGTATCGATCCTTTCGAAAATCTAACGATCAAAATTGGAGCTTGTGTTTGAAGGGATGTGGTTCAACAGCAGTTATCAATTTCGTCTTCATCAAAGTTTTCTGCCTATGCATTCACGAAGCGTGTCATCTGGACTAAAGAAAGATCTGCAAGGAAGACATGACCTTTTCAAGAATATTATCCACGATCCTACGCAACGGTTGGCCCTGGAATGCACGAAGAACATTGCATTAGAAGCCACGGACTGGAGGCAGGGAGACATTGAGAATTTTAATGCCGCTCATTGGAGTCACTCGTTGATCAACAGGGAGACAGGTGGCGCAGGTGAACACAGTGTGATCATGAGTGAATCAGAATTTGCAGGACGACGTTCTTTCGAAAACTTTCGAAAAAGGACTTTCGAGAGGTCGGATTTCTTTGATTTCTCTCATTACACGTTTTTTTGGATAATGATTCATCATTATAACATTTTACTAACTTGACAAACAACTTGTTTTGTTGTTAAAACATCGATATCTCCTTCTTGTAATGATGTCACGCTATTTCAAAGCATCGCAATCAAAAACCCAGTATTTCTATTTCTTCTAGATGTGGAAATTTTGTCTTCCATAAGCCATGGCCTCTGTAGCCTTACTGCTTACATGTTTTTCCTCCCTTCCTCTTGCTTTACTCAAGCTTTATTCTCAACCTTTCTTCTCCATTAGTCACCCACTCTCATAGGATAGCCAAAGTACAGACAAAAAAATTTTTTCAGATCTATATGGAGTAAAACAGAATCCAGTGAGTTCGCTATGTGCAAGGTTATCTTCAGACCTTCAATAAAGATTTGACAGTGGTCACATTCACGAAAAGAGAAGGCGCTTTACAAGTGATGAATTTCTTTGCCACATCTTGCACTTCCTTGTCAAGCGCAATGTATATGACAGTATTGCACGCACCTATAATATGTATTAATTTCTCAACTATACAGTTTCTCCGCTTAAGGCAGCAACGCGACTGACCGGCACAGAGCAACCCATCAATATAGAATGGACCGACGACATTGAAAACACGGAAGCCGGTCACTTTTGCTAGACCTGCGACCACACTTGGAAGAGTGACACACATTAAGGATATAAGGAGGATTCCAACGCTCCGACGATTGGCCTGAGTTTTAAAAATCAAGAGTTGCCCATTCCGAATGACACTAATACCTGTTTGAATCTGTCGCTTCTCAATTTCACAGCTCCAAGTGGTCCTGGTTTCAGCTGAAGTGCCCGCAGTTTAATAATAATTAAGGTCATTAAAACAATCAGAATGGTACCCATCACCTAAAAGTAGACGTGCAAAAGATATGTAGATAGTTTTAAAAAGGAAATTCACCATTCTGCTGACTCCGCAATAGTAGAGGAAACTGTCACTTATAAAACATCCGGTTGCGGCACAGTTTGGAGAGTCACTAAGTGGCGTGAGGGAGAATTCCAGAACAAGATCCAATATCGCTAATAAAAATCCAAACAATAAGCTGCACATTGCATACGAGTGGGATGACCGGTTGCGGAACATGACTGGGAAGTACAAAGCCTGAAGAGTCTTGCACTTTGCGAAGAACCGTTTCTTGAGAAGTATCTTACCAAAGTCCTCTCGGCAGCAATGGAAATACTTAAAGTGAGGTTAATCTTCAGTTGAATTACAGCAGGAATACTGGAGATCATTAGATAGTGCCGGCTTAAACTCAAATATACTGGATTCCATGAAATTATAAGGTACATAGTATATGGAAGAGCTGAAAATCAAATCGAAGTGTGCAACAAATTTTTTTTGGAACATTCAATGTCAAACCAGACAACTCACTTGCAATAGCGTGAAGGAAGTCAGTTATGGTAAGAAGTGCCGCCAGCAGTCGAGAGGAGTTTTGCAAAAGATTTTTCTGCCTTAAAAGAAAGAAAATGCTACACCTACATATTTCTACTGTTAGGAGTACGTTCACAGTATTGAAGTTCTACAAATGCTACAATGTTTTATGTCAGGCTTACCTGGTAANAGTCGAGAGGAGTTTTGCAAAAGATTTTTCTGCCTTAAAAGAAAGAAAATGCTACACCTACATATTTCTACTGGTAGGAGTACGTTCACAGTATTGAAGTTGTACAAATGGTACAATGTTTTGTGTCCGGCTTACCTGGTAAACAAGAAAACGATGAAACCATTGCAGGTAATCACAGTCAGTTGAAGCAACACAATTGTGATCTCTAAGACCAGGTAGTGGAGATTGTTCGCCATCCCACTTCAACTGCCTCAAAAAGCTTAAGCAGTCCATCATCTACGCATAATAGTTTTTGGTTTAGGCAATAGTAATGATTTCTACATGAACAAAGCTAGAGAGAATACACAGGTCATGCTGCAACGCTGCCTATCAACCCAGCAACAGAGCATTTTATCCACGGTAACTTAACAAGTATCTTCAATAGACCATTTGTGAAACGACAGTATCCTTGAATGGAGCAGAAATGTGGAGTGTCAGCCACTGGATGTTTTCAAGGCGACAATCGTTCGTAAGTGTCATTGAGAAGGGTTGTTGACAAAAATCAGGTAATTGGCTCATTTGTTAGCGAACACGACGACTTGTTAATGAAATCATAGAACATAGTTGCCCTGTACAAAATGGTTTTGGAGAGTTGAGCACGGAGCACATCGGAACAACAGAAATCCTTAGAATTTCTCATTAATCACGAAAGTTTTAAATGGTGAAAATCGTAGTAGAGTTGTGGTTCGTAGAGAAGAGCTAAAGAAATTTGCGGTAATGAGAAGTCCTCTTCTGAGAGCGTGAGGCAAATGCTAGAAATCATCAACACCCGTATGCATTTAATCACCCGCATAATAAATGCCCAATCCTTTTGGTAAGAAGAAATCTATAGCAACAACAAAAGTGAGATCGACTGTACTTTTTAGGAGGTAATCTCCACCGAAACATGGTAGAATACAGGATTTCACCTGAGCTCAAGATTAGGATTACTGTAGTGAACTAGGCGTTAAGTATAGCTGAAGAAAAAGCTTTGCAAATCTTTTACCTGACAACTGTATCACCTATAACTCACTTAATAAATGAGTTAATCTAAAACACGTTCGCTACCAATAAATTCTGAAGGTATTTTTTGCAGCGGTTTTGTAATGAGGACTTTCTCTCCATTACCCTTAAAGTGCTTAAAATATCAGAAGTTTTGGCCATAGAGTTGACGTCGATGGAGAGATATATTGGATGAAATAGTGTGTAGAAAGTGATTGGAGCTGCTCTACAATAGTCACTTGTTCGATCTCATGCTCTCGACTAAACATGCCGCTTACGGAGTCGGCGAATTTGGACCAATTTCTTCTGCAAGGGAGAAAGATATTTGAGGAAACGGTACATTAAATGATCTTCGAAGACAACTACTCCACGTTGCTTAGTTTGTAAAAAACATCGTTCATCTTGAAACGACAGTTCAACTCATTGCACTCTGCCCTTAAAATCATTCAGTTCGGAAACGGTAGAGCATGCTCAAGACGGGAAGGTAATAACAGATTTAGAACATACAGTGACGTTTCCAGTTAGCCCTACAGCATGCCACGTGATTCAAATGAAATTAAACGCGCATTGCGAATGATATAAAATCAAATTAAGCACTCACTACTTGTGTGAATTTATTTATGTGATCTTATAAACTGATCTTCTTCAACTGACGCGAGGTAGGTACAGATCTCCGCTGTCGTTGTCGCTGTTTTTGATGTTGAGATGCAACATTTTCGATTCCTATGCGGTGATTGCATGAGTTACAGTTTACCTGATCTCTTATAGAGCGTGCGGAGATGAATACACTGGCGAAACGGGCGACACTCTGCGTCCGTTTAAAGGAACATCCAGTCGTTAAACTTGAAGTTAAACGAAATACCCCACTAGGTACGCATTCGACACAGAGACATAACCGGGAAAATTCTGAATTCTGAAGTAGAAGTTAGAGTCCTCGCATAGCAATCGAAAACACGAGAGCGCAAAACTCTCGAAGCATCCTTGATAAATTCCAAGAATCCGAAAATGAACCGCAAGGTAGAAAGCCTCATTGTCACGTGTGATATTGGGCAGCATATAAGCTTGCTATTCTTGCGCGATGGGCATATTAAGATTCTATGTGTGAATTCTGAAGTAGAAGTTAGAGTCCTCGCATAGCAATCGAAAACACGAGAGCGCAAAACTCTCGAGGCATCTTGGATTAATTCCAAGATTCCGAAAATGAACCGCAAGGTAGAAAGCCTCATTCTCACGCGTGATATTGGGCAGTATATAAGCTTGCTATTCTTGTGGGTTGGGCATATTACGATTCCATGTGAATTCCGTACGGTTGGTCTCCACGTGAAACACTCAGTGGAAGACTCATGGAAGACGGTTAATATACGACTTTCCCTACTCTTTTTTTATGGCACTCTTTTTGCTTTTTCTTTTCCTTTTTTTTTCTCTGTTTACTCCACCCTTTTTTTAATGGCAGGC